CCCCCTATAGCTTATTTCAATCATCTAAATGGAAGTGACATGAGATAGGCTGTTGTAGCTCTCTTTGTGTAGCCCTCAGGGAATAAAACATGTTTAAAAAACATGGACTTCTTTTGAAGGCCATACTTTTAAAAAGGTTTTTGTAATAACGATGCACATAAAGTGAGTGAAGTGCATCAAGATATCGCGGATCTCTGCAGAGCTGGAATTGAATGTGAAATGACAGGTAACATTTGCTCTAGTAGAAAGAGTTTTATTGGTTTGTTTTGCACTCGCACGAGGTGATTTAATTGAGCACCCCATCCCAGCCCCATCATGTGATAAATTAGGTTTAAGCTGCAAATTGGGATTTTTAACTCATGTAAGTTGACATTCTAGTGCAATGCTGCTGTGCACGGCATTGCTGGGAGGTGCTATCCTTCGGAGGAGATGTTAAACTAAAGCCCTGTCTGCTGGTTCAGATGGCTGTTCAAGAGCTCATGGTGTTATTGGAAAAGAGAAATGGAGTTTCTCCCATTGTCCTGACTAACAATCCACCAAATATAACTGGACATTAATTTCATGGCTGTTTTTGCAACATTGCTGTACGCAAATTGGACACCATATTTACCCACAAAATACACAGTCTACCCTTCACAGCAAATTCCTATGAACCTCTTTGAGATGTCTAGACAATGTGATAAGGCACTATATCCAGAAGAGTATTCAACAACAACAACAACAAATTAAACTTGTATAGTGACCTTCACATTGTATATCTGTCAACGTTGAATCTGTTAACTGTGACCAAGTGTTTTATTTAATTTTAATTGTATGAGTACACTGTACTTTACTATTATCCAGCTATCCTTCAAACCATTCATTTGTGCCGTGACCCATTCTTCCTTTCCCCACCTCCGCAATATTGCCCACCTCCACCACTGTCTCTCACCACAGGCCGCCAAGACACAGATCCATGTTTTCATCACATCCCGGCTTGGCTACACCAATTGTCTGCTCGCTGAACTTCCCAACTTATCCCTCCATAAGCTGCAGCTTATTCAGAACTCTGCAGCTCGTTTCTTCTCCCACACCAGGCTCTGTGAACCAATCACCCGGTTCTTGCCCCACTTTACTGCCTCCCCATCACTCACCTTCAAAGCCCCCCACTGTTTTGCTCCCCCATACTTCTTCGACCTCCTAACCCCATATCAGCCTGTCCGCTCCCTTCCGCCTGGCAGACACCAGCCTGCTTCAGGTCTCCTACACTTCCCGCCCCATCATTGGTGGTTGGGCATTCAGCATCTCTGCCCCCACATTGTGGAACTCTATCCTGCAATCCCTCCGCCTCAACCCCTCTTGCTTCCTTCAAGTCCCATTTAAACACCTTCCTCTTTGACCATGCCTCCCACCCCCATTCCCACTGCCCTCCAACCCTCCTGACCCCAACTCTCAGCTCGGGTCCAAAAAGTCCTAACTGTCCAGACCCTGAGACGTCTTTTCAACGTGAAGGGCGCTATACAAGTGTAATTTGTTGTTGTTGTTGATTATGCTTCTGGATAAATTATTGTGTTGAGTTCTACTTAATGTGAGACACAAAAAAAATTAGGCTCTTCCTATTTTGCACGAAGATTGTTGGACAGTGAAACCTTCCTTTAATTTATTCTACAGTGGCACTGTTCAGGGAATGTTATAATCTTTAGATTTGATAACCACTTTTCACGTCAAAGGATAGATCAGGATTTATTGTACAATGTAATGATTGTGCATTTTGTGAACAACAAGAGCGGTGGCATGGTGGACTAATGTACTGGCATGTTGAACAATGGGTGGAAGATTACAAATTACAATGGTGAGGCTCCAATTTCAGTGAGAGCAATACAAAGATGTTTAACGTGGGAAAGGTGCTCCAGAATTATAGAAGAGAAAATATGAAAGGAAATTGATGAATTATCTACTTGTGCTATGAATCAGAAATATTTAGCAGTCCAGTGGAAAGGGAGAATATTGGACAAGTAACAATAAAATGATATAACTGAGCATCAAGTTGAGAGGGAAGGGTCACAAACCATGGAATAGTTTTAAAAAGGCCTTCACAATAGTATTAAATAATGCTATTATGAAAGGATGACAAAGGAACTGATTAACATACAATAGGAGGAATTGTTAGATGTTAAATTTACTCAATAATGGTAGAATGGAGCATTTCAAAACAGTTATAAACTTCTGGTGTGAGGCAATCATGGTCTGTAAAATAACACTAGGCTCGGTATCAAACAAAAGGGAAGGTTACAAGACTGAAGACAATCAAGATCACAACAAAACAATGAAAGAAAACCAATAAAATAATAAATAGGAAGTATGAAAATAAATGTGCATGTGGTACAAGAATATCACAAAAGAGGTAGTAGAACAGGAGGTGGATCCATATAAAGATGTGGTTATGACCATGCTACAACAACAACAACTTGGATTTATATAGCGCCCTCCATGCTGGACGGCGTCTCAGAGTACTTTACAGTAACGGATCCCGGGGCCGAGCCAGTGGGAGGGGGAGTAAGGTGACCAAAGGTGCGGTCGAAAAGAAAGGTCTTTAGCAGAGACCTGAAAATGGGAAGGGAGGGAACGAGACAAAGGGAGTGAGGAAGGCAGTTCCAGAGCATAGTGGCTGAAGACACGGCAACCAAGGGTGGAGCGGAGGACTCGGGGGACGAGGAGGAGGCCAGACCCGGAGGAACGAAGGCAACGGGTACTAGAAGTTAAGAACACGGGAGAACTGTTTCGGCTGTCACAGTGGAGACGAATACGAAATCAGAGATACAGGGTAAACTGGAATGGAAATTGTACGGATTATTAAAACAATACTATTGCAATGAATATAATTTTGGAACTGAAGGTAGATAAATCTCCACGCCTGATGTTTCTGAACCCAGGGTATTATAGGAAATAGACAAGGAAATTGGAAATGCATTTGTTATCATCTTTCAAAGCTTTCTGGACTCAGGTTTAATATCAAAAGAAGCAAAGGAAGAAAATATGATGGCATTATTCAAGAAGTGAAGAAGGGACACGCCAATGGTGGTGAGGATACAGGAGCGTTCCACAAGGATCAGAACTACATCAAGTATGATAACATAACTGCCCTTTCGACCAACATAGACTCAATACTTCAGATGTACTACCACCAAAAGGTCTAACCAATGGTTACAGAATAGCAGTCTGAATTTCCTGTAAGTGAAAAATAATTGAAATCTCCACACTGTACAGGTCTCCCACAAATAGCCACTGTGCAGGTGCACGTATGCACTCAATTCACTTTAGATCAAGGGAAATAATAATAATTGCATTAGATAAATCGCCTTATCACATCTCAGCTCCTTTTAATCCTGCAAGCTAAAGCCTAATAGGTAGCATGGTCCTAGCTGGTCAAGCAGTGATATCAATGGCAAGCTATGCAGTTTTAGCTGGTAGGAGTCCAGCAGTACCCTGATCCACACACTTGCCAACCTACGCCTAATACTTTCTCTAATTAGGGAAGCAGGATGCATCCCTTCAGGCATTCCATTCCCAAATTCTTCTCTGGAATTTCCATGTGTAGGTGGGATGCATGGAAATCGCAGTTTGGTTTAGATGGTGGATGATCATTGTTTTTTTATCTGGGTGATTGTTGGCCAGGACACTGGGAGAATTATGCCATGTATCTTTCTTGTCCAGCAGAACAAGCAGACGAGACCTCAGTTTTTCATGTATCACACCATAGAACAGCACCTCTGGCCATACAGTACACTGCAGGCAGCATATTATAACAACAACTTGCATTGATATAGTGCCCTTCACTTCAATATAAATAATTCATAATAGAATATCAGGCCAGATCATGAGAGTTCAAAGACCTGACATGGAGCTCACAACCTTCGGATCCAGAGCCAAAAGTGCCTCCAATGAGTCAGGCTGCTACCTGCAAAGTGCTAAATGCTTATAAAAGCATGAGATGAACAGGAACGTGGACAGAAATGAACTTGCAAACGTCTGATCAAATTTGAAGTTGGCTCTTGCCTTAAGGCCAAAATGTAGAATTACTGTGTCGGTAAATTAGTGTGGAAAGGTTGTATAATTGGCTGTTAGGAACAGTGATTCACCATCACAGATTGGTATAATTGATTAATAGACTAGTGTTGCTCCTTTAACTACAGGATCGTTCTGTGTCAGATCCCCTGAATACCAAATACTGCAGCGCAATTATATTGACTGGATGACAGAAATATTCTTTAGTCCTTCAAGTCGCAAATAATAGCAAGAAGTATATTTCAGCCATATTAAGGCACTGCATGAGAATTCATTAAACCGTCTATGTGAATACACTGTATTTACTGTATGTAAACCGTTGGCTCTCTATCCTTCAGAGGATCCTGAACTGGATCCTCTGGGCCTCACCTACAACGCCCTCCATGGCCTCGTCCCACCCTACATCTGCGATCCCCTAACCCCCTACCAACCCGCCCGTTCCCTCCGCTCAGCCGGCTCTGGCCTGCTCCACGTCCCCCGACCCACCCACCCTACCATTGGCGGGAGAGCCTTCAGCTACTCTGCCCCCAACCTCTGGAATTCAATCCCCCAGTCACTCCGCCTCGCTCCCTCCTTAGCCTCCTTCAAGTCCTGCCTCAAGACCCTCCTCTTCAACCATGCCATCAGCTACCCCCCTTCCCCTCCCTTCCCCCCCAACCCCAGCTCGGGTCTGAAATGCTGTATTCTCTCCAGCACCTTGGGACGTGAAAGACACTATACAAATGTAATCTTGTTGTTGTTGAATGTTTTGTTGTTCTGTAAATGCCTCTGCTTTCACTACAGCAAACAAATGAGCAATTCAAAGTGCAAGTCTTGACAAATTGATGATGCTCTAATTATTTCTGGTCATTATCAATAACTTCATATTTCCAATACTTGGGTTGTTCTTGTCCACAGGAAATATCTGTGCTGATTTTCTTACTAACTTACTGACAAGCCATTTTCTTTGTTCAAAGGTCTCAGGATAGAGCTCATTCCGCTGAATTGCAAAGCTGCAGACTCAGGGTAACGTAATTTTTTTTTGCTTATTTTCTTGTTCTGAATTATAATTACCAAGTAGACAACAAAGTGCTTATTCAGGCTGTTAAAACTTTCGCACGTCAGAAGTGAACTTATGTTTGGTTACCAGCCAGATACCTTTTTCCAGTATTAATTTGCCATAATTGCTTGCTATGTGTTATCTGCCTGTGTGCAAATGTCACTTGACTATGGCTATTTTTGCATCCAGTGTGGTTTAAAAAGGCTGACTCTGACTTACACAAGGAATTAACCTGAATCTGCTGCCTTGATTTAACATACAGCAGATTGAGGAGAATAATGCAATGTTTTTAATTGAACATCTTCAGCAGTAAAAATGGTCATGTTTCCTTCCGATCACAGAGGATTGAAAAGCAACATGCCCATTATATCATGTGTCCCACCTTACACCAATGTACGTTCTAGCTAAAAGGCTTATCTGGTAGAGTCTATAGCCAGACAGGGTTTGACTATCGACTGAGTGCCTGTAGTATAAATGGAAGAAATCACCTGACTGCTGAGATGCCCTTAGCCTAGAAGCCTACAAGAACAAGGGTTACATTGGATCACTTGGTAATATATACTCGTTTGACCATACAGGTCAAGAAGACTGAACAACTCTGCCGAGAGCCATGAGAAAGAGTTGTACTTTCTAGCTTTTAAAGTGAAGACCACACGCATTATGTAATATAACCAGCCGTGAGGAATCTGCTTCTAATCCTGGGGATCAGCTGGGATTTATAAATCAATTGAACTTGTTTGCCTGACATCCAATGAATCCCTTAGCTACAACCTTGTAATATTCAGTGATTCCCTACTTAATTCTCAATTCACAGCATTTTGCATCGGGCAGGTCTGTGCTAAAATCTCCTCCAACTAGATAGCTATTTGCTCTTACATATATAATGTGTTTAAAAATAGAAGTGGCATTTGTTACAGGTTTTTTAATTTGATACAGGCTGTTGGTAAGATAAAGGTTTTCCTTTTATTTTGGTCTCAGGAGCGAGGAGGGAGAAGTAATTAATCTGTGCAATAAGTCTCTGATGATCTGACCGACCAATCTACTGTTACATTTTCATTTGCACTTGAATTTCTGAAAAGAGAGAGAGGGATGAAGCTGACAAAACTACATCGACGGTACAACGCAGTGTACATTTTGCAGACATAATAACCCTGTTACACGGTACTATGATGTACCAAATGCGGTACACATTTTGTTTCTGGCATGCAGCATACACTCTCAGGAGGCCTCACAATCTTCGGGCAACCAAACAGGCCATCTTACTGTGCAAGCAGCTCAGAGACAACAACAACAATAACAAGATTACATTTGTATAGCGTCTTTCATGTCGGGAGGACGTGCAACAGTGTACAATAGTGTACAGCATTTCAGACCCGAGCTGGGGTCAGGGGGGAGAAGGGAGGGGAGGGGAAGGGGGTTGACCGATGGCATGGTCGAAGAGGAGGGTCTTGAGGCAGGACTTGAAGGAAGCTAAGGAGGGGGCGAGGCGGAGTGATTGGGGGACGGAGTTCCAAAGGTTGGGGGCAGAGTGGCTGAAGGCTCTCCTGCCAATGGTAGGGCGATTGGGTCGGGGGACGTAGAGCAGGCCGGAGCCGGCTGAGCGGAGGGAGCGGGCGGGTTGGTAGGGGATTAGGAAGTCGCAGAGGTAGGGTGGGGCGAGGCCATGGAGGGCTTTGTAGGTGAGGACCAGGATTTTGAACTGGATCCTCTGAAGGATAGGAAGCCAATGGAGTTGGGTGAGAATGGGGGAGATGGGGTCACAGTTTGGTGCAGGAGAGGTCACGGGCTGCAGAGTTCTGGATTATCTGCAGCCTGTGGAGGGAAGAGTTGGTAAGACCGACAAGCAGGGCTTGACCCTGACTTGGACATGGCACTGGCAACCACACTGTACCACCACCTATTGTAACCCAGGGTCTCGTTTTGTGGACCCAAGGTACTACTTTGAAAGATCCTGTTTGCTATGAAACGTATGTACTGGCATCTCAGCCCACCAACACTGGCTAAAATCTGGCCTCCTTGTCGTATCTCTCCTATTTCCCATTGAGCACAGGCTCCCATTCTTTTGCTCTCTGTGTAAAGCTCTTTGAAATATTCTCTTAGGTGGAAGTGCTTCACAAGTGCAACTTATGATTGGTGTTGTTAAAGGCTCGCTGACTAGTTCTAATGCCAATATATCTACATAGCCCATTATTATGAATGGATTGGAGTATCATGGACAATAGGTCATGTATAAGGATGGTGTGAGAATTGCAAATTTCCACGAAGGAGATAAAAAGAAAGTGTGGAATGAGAAAGTGTCATTCCTCCAGTCAACCTCCCTCCTTCCACAGATAATCTAACCTACAATGAACAAACTAACTGAGCTTCAATAACAGTATCTAATTTATTCTTGGTGCATGCATACATCTCTGATATAGTGCATTTGTTTTTTTGTTGAATAGTCCCAAGCAATGGGCGAGGGGTGTGGGGTGGAAGTCTGAGTCAGGCAATCTCCCCTACCTTGCTCTGCTGCCAGTTGTAACAAATTAATAATAATAATAAACATTAATAATCCTTACGTTTGGTACAACACCTTTCATGTTGGGAGGATACTCCACTGCACTTCACGGCATATAATGTAAAGTTCAGTGACTGTATGGTGTGTGGACAAATGTGGCAGCCAACTTGCAGATAGCAATGTTCTACAAACAGCCATTGAAATGAATGACCAAATTAATCTTGAGGATCATTGGCCAGGACATCCAGAGAAACTCCCTTCTCTTTTTGAATAGTGCCATTGGATCTTTAACGTCCACATGAACAGGCAGAAATTAACTTCTTAAATGTCTTATTTGAAGGATGATGCCTCTAACAATGCAATACATCCCTAGAATTGCATTGGAGTGTCAGCCTAGATTAAACGAGTTCAAAGCCCCGAAATGAGGCTTAAACACACATGCTTTTCACTCAGAGGCAGGAGTGGTACCAATGGAGCTGGGCTGACAATTTGCTACACTTTGGAAAGTCCTCCCTATGTAAAAGTCTTTAAACCAACTGTAAAGATTAATATTATTAGTAGCAGTACAACTGCAATATAGAACTATCACCTTGTTTTATTGTTTGCGGTTTCTACGTCTTCTTAAATAAATTATCAGGAGAACAGAGATGGCAGCTCATTTTAACAACTCAGTTTGATATAATCACATAACGTGTTATGAAACGAGATTATTTTCTGTTGCATGAATTGAGATGTGCTAATTTTATCTCGGGTAGTTCTTTTGAGCGACTCTTTTGTTTTTTTCCCCCGCTGAAGGGAAAAGAGAAGCCTGATATCAGAATTCTTCACCTATCATCAGGAAATAAAGCTCCAAGGTTTTAGCCCCCAAACCATGGCAATTTTCCCTGGTTTAGGACAGGTTGTCAGCTATGAGCTGGGTTGTAGGAGGATGGATGTGCATCAGTGTAAACTCATTAAACTTGGGACAGATTTATGGCTGATAACACTACAGCAGCATGTTGCTCGAAGTAATACAGACACCTGAGTATTTGCTTTTCATTTAACCCTTTTGTAGATGAGAGTAGTCCTGAGTCCACACAGAATCAAGGGGTATTCGTTACACTATGTATATTTGAAAAGAGAAGCAAGATTCTCCTTGTATTCTGACCAACAATCAATCTCCCAGATAAAACGGATCATTCACTTTGTGACTGTTTGTGGGACGTTGCTGTGTGCAAATTGAGCGCTATGTTCACCTGCAAAAAAAAGTCACTACATTTAACAGTAAGTTAAGTATTTTGAGATGCCCTCCCAATGTGAAAAGTGCAAGGATTATCAGTGCAAGGATTATTGTAAACATTATTTGGGGTCATCAAGATAAGAGATATTAGTTCTAAGAATTGGATTACGTTCCTCTTTCAGGCTCTTAAGTCAGCACTTCGATAAGGCACAGATCAACCTGCATGATGTTTCCTCAGCCCCCATCCCCCAAAAAACAACATATGCCCTTTTCCACACCAGCCACCCTGTGACTCATCTGCATGCCTTGCCTTGACTTTTTTTTAGGCAACCATGTACAAGGGACCTGAATTAATAGCAGCCGAATGACTCTGAAAGTGCTTCAATAATTCAGCCCTTTTATCTGAGCCTTTGTAATACTCAGATCAACCACAATGTTGAGCTCTATCTCTTCTCCTAATTAATTTTCCCAATGATATCATCACACCACACTGTTATTGCAAAAACATTGCAAAGAGTTAACTGAAAATAGATGGGAAAAACATGAAATGTGATATTAATAATGATAAAAATCCTTACACTTGTTATAGTGCCTTTCATGTCAGAAGGATATTTCAAAGCTCTTCATTGGAAAATTGTAAAATGGATTGACTGTGTGTTTTATGGTTGAAACATGGCAGCTGATTTGTGCAGAGCTATGTCCTGCTCAAAGTTTCTTGTATTGATTTTACAAACGGATTCCCATTGACATATTTGCTACAATGATATTAAGATAGCACCCATCCAAAAAGAGGATTCATCACTTTCAGCTTATTTGAATATATTCCCCCTTTGTTTTCTTTAAGATTTGTTTCTGTCAGATTTGTCTCTTTTCAGGCTGCGAAGCTTGCCTTAAGTAGAGTGAGGTGTACAACAGTGAGCTGTGTTGACTAAAACTTGATGGTAATCCTTTGAAGCCCTATGGAAAAGTACATTAACTCTGTCTCACACACGTCCACTAGCATGTTTGGGTCAGAAATTAGATATTGACTAGTTTTGGTCCAATTGTCCAGTCACAAAGCACTTTCTGAGTATCAACACAGTTCCTTCTCATATATATCAGTTGCTCTGTCAAGGTTTGGTAGCCATACACTTTACATTGGTTGTTAACTTTAGGAGTGCATTTTTACCATTGATTTGTTGATATGTGCTCAGAATGCAGCTGATGGCACATTTATTGCAGTAATCACTAGACTGGGAAACACATC